AGCGGATCGGCGGGCGGAGGCCCGTCGCGGGGAGGGAAGGTGCTCCAGCAGCAGGCACGGCTGCGGAGCCCCCCGACGCCGCCCGCCCTCCCCACCCCACCCCACCCCATCCCCTCCCCCAGACCCACCTCCCTCCCCCCTCCCCGCCCGCCGCCAGGTGGTCGCCATGGAGGCGACTCTCTCGCGGATGGAGGAGTCGTTTGCCTTTGCCGTCGAGTGCATGACTGCCGACATGGCGCAGGCGCGCAGGCAGCTGCACAGCCTCAAGCTCGCTCTCCACTCGGCCCACTAGACGGGGGCACCCACCGCTCCCGGTCGCTGTCGGCGTGCGGCCGGTTCGCACCCGCCTCGTCTAGACGAGGCCTCTGACAACACACCTTCCGCACGCCGCCTCACGCTGGCACTCCAGCCTCCGCCGGCCTTGCTCGGCACTGCTTGTCCTTCTGTCTTTCGCGCGCGCGGTGGGTGGGTGGGTGGGGTTGGGGGGGGGGGGGGATCCGTTTCGGCTGAGCTCTGCGCGGTGAGAGAGCAGTCTCTGTACTCTGAGAGGGAGAGGACGCAGACTCTGGGGGGAGGCGGGGCCCCTAGAGGGTACCCATGCGGGGGGGAGATGGGGTCCCATAGCCCGCCGCAGGCGCCGATTTTTTCGCGATTTTTTTGTTTTTTGGCTACTTGTTTCATGAATTTCCTGTAGAATTTCGCGTACTGCGACCATGCTCTATCACGCCTTGCGACAGCCTGTCGGCGCTGCTGACCGTGCCCTGCTGCACAATTGACCACCTGCATAGCTCACGGCCTTAGTATCAAGCATTCAGTGACTACCTGATCGTACGGCCAGTAGGAAGGTGTCCTTCCAGCGCGTGCACGCTTCTGACGCAATGCGCGTCACAAACTGCCTCGGATTGGCTGCTGGCACTCTCGAGGCTATGCCTACACAGCCTCGCGCGCATGGGCAGTCAAGAGGGACCACGCACCTTCTCACGACAGCGCCGGCGCCTCTCTCTTGGACCGGCAAACGTGGTGGTCTCGTGTCACCAATGTGGGACCAGTGCGGCATCGCGCCATCGACAGCTCTGAACTGCGCCTCACCACTGACCGGGAAGGCCGCCAAGTGGGTCAGCACCGGTCGCACATTGTGGCAGCAGTCAGCAGCGCATGTCTGATAGCTAGAACCGCAGCGTCAGGGTCGCAGGGTCGGATCGTGTCAAGCCTCTCGCCCGGCCGGCCGCGTGGAGACGTCGGCCTGTCTGCTGTCTGGAGTGATCTGTCGGCGGTCAGTATCTAGATACGACCGATCAGGTTGGAGTTTTCTGATGGTTGGAGGGTCTATCTGTATGTACTCCTCGAGATCTCTCCAAATCTGCCCTCTGATTAACCTAGCTTAATCGGGAAGTCGGTGCTAGCTGACACTAGCGGAGCCGGAGCCCCGTTTCCGCACTGCGGCGCGGCGCACGGTGCCTCCGGGGGGCCCCGCCTCCCCCCAGAGGACGCAGACGCGCCGAGAGAGCGAGACGGTTCCCGAGTCGACACACGACAGAACTCACGGAACACACGAAGGCTGATTTGTCATGCTCTTCTTGGTCATTACCCTGCGGATTCAAAATTTGAATACGCGGAGGCCCGGCGATATGTCCGGCTCCGGGGGCGCCGCTATAGCCGCTATACAGGCTACACATATCGGTACCGATATGTAGCGCCCCCGGAGGTGGTATGTAGCGCGCCGACCGATATGTAGTATGTAGACCACGCCCCGTGGGGACCGATACTAAGTCATAACACCGGACGATTCCTGTAGCGGGGGTCGCTACATACCGCGACCGCTACATACCGCGTTCAGGCGCGACATATCGGAGGGGCCACTTTCCTGACGACGGCGGTCTCAGTCGTGCACAGCTAGTGCACGCTCTGCCGGCGTCGCGGCAAAACCCAATGCCACTACCCAAGACGCAAGCGCGACACGCAAGTGTGCGCGGAGGGTGCGAGAGATGGTTGAAGTGCCGCCAGCACGCCGCGGGGAGCGCGCGAGGAGGGCGGCCGGAGAGAGGGCGTGCACGGGCTCTCACGAGGCGGCGGCGCGGTCGTAGGAAGGGAGCGGCCCGTCGGCGACGACCACCTGAGGCAGGGGGGGTGGGGAGGGGGGGTGAGAGGGGTCGAGAGCTGGCGAAGGTGCTGCCCTACCTCGGTGCGAGCCTCGCCTTGGAGCGCGAGAAAGCGTCCTCTGCCGCGTCGAGCTGAGGCGGGGAGAGGGGCGAGGTGGGTGAGGGAGAGAGGGGCGACACGCGACACGCGGGCTGGGGATCGGTCGGGTGGCGGCGTCAGGTCGCGCGGGCGTGTCCGGTGCGCTGTCTGCGGCGTGCTCTCCGCGTCTCGGTAGCGGGGATGAGAGTCTGGAGGGGTGAGGGGTGCCGCTCCTCGCCTGCTCGAGCTCGCGGGTGAGCTGCGCGTGGCGCGCCTTTTGGGTGGGGGTGTCGACGACGAAGGGGAAGCGGTCGAGCTCCTCGAGCACCTGCGGCGGGGCAGGGTAGGGCGGGGCGGGGTAGGGCGGTGGCGACGGTGGCGGACGGTGCTGCTGCCGGCAGAGTGCGCGAGCCGCCGGGCGGAGGAGGAGAGGCGGGAGGAGGAGAGGCGGGAGGAGGAGAGGAGGGAGGAGGAGAGGAGGGAGGAGGAGAGACGGGAGGAGGAGAGGCGGGAGGAGGAGGAGAGACGGGAGGAGGAGGAGAGGCGGGAGGAGGAGAGGAGAGAGGTGCCGCACCTCGGCGCGCGCGGCGCGGATGTCGGCGAGGACCCGCACGCAATCCTCGCGCGGCAGCAGGTGGTGGTGCGGCGGCACCTCGGGCGGCATCGCGGCCGCCGCCTTCTCGGCCGCACGCTGCGCCAGCTCCAGCTTGCGGTCGATCAGGTAGCTCGGCAGCTTGCCCGCCGGCTCGGGGCGGCCAAACAGGACGCGCGCGGCGGCGTCGGAGGCGCGCGCGCTCGCCGGCCGCCTCCTGCTCGCGTGCTTGGCCGCCTCGATGTTCCGAGCGATGTAGTCGGTCGGTGGAGGCGAGGCGGGGTGCGGCGCGGCCTCCACCTCTGCCGCCGCCTCCAGCGGCGGCGGCGGCGGCAGCGACTTGGCGGGCGGCGGCGGCGGCGGCACGAGCAGTGGCGGCTCGATCCACGCCGCCGTCCTGCCCGCCCGCGTCACCTGCTTCGCCGGCTGAAGCGGCGCGCCCACGTAAAAATTGCGCGGTGACGGACGGTGGCGAGAGGGCGGTGCTGACGACGGCCGCGCCGCGAGCTGCGCGGCGACACGGGAGGGCACGGCGCTGTACGCGCCCTCCGCTCGCCGGCGAGCCGCCTTGCTCGCGGCCTTGGCCGCCTCCGCCTCTGCCGCCGCCTTGCGCTCGCTCACCTGCTGCTGCAGCTCCTTGATGTGCCGCCGGTTGTCACGGGCGTGGTCGTGCGGCTTGATCCCGTGCCGCCGCAGCACGTCGCGGCAGCCGTGCGTGGGGTAGATGAGCTCCTGCGCCGTCGAGGGTCGGCTGGCGGGGACGGAGACGGCAGCGCGTGGCATCGGAGACGGCAGCTCGCTCGCTACCGGCTGTTGGCGCGATCGCTCAAATAACGCGCCCGGCCGGGCCCTCAGCGGAGCTGGGAATAGGACCGCCGCAAGCGGCGTGGCGTGGAGCGGTTGAGCATCCCTCCGGGGGCCCCTCTGCGCCGGGGAGGCGTTGTTGGAGGCTAGGACGCAAGCGTCCGTCGCCCTTTTCAAACTCGGGGCCCACTCCGCTACGCTCCGACCCGAATTTGGAGGGCCTAAAAGTTTAAGGTGTTGCTGCGCAAAAGGGGTCGGACACAGGGCGCAGCTCATGCTAAGAGCTAGAAGGGGAGCTAGAGCGGAGAACGACTACCCTGTCCCATTATTGCGTACACCAACACCACAAAAGCTCTCTCTCTCCTGTCCTCACTCACTCAGAGGGGGGTCACAACTACCGAGTCTCTCGACTAGCTGCCACGTTGCCGACGGCGAGAGCGAATCTCCTCCTGCTCCGCAAGGAGGGTGGCCAAGGCTAAAGTCTTGCCGGAGCCGCCGGGCGTGTTGACGACTTGGAGAAGGTCGCCCTTGTACTTGTGCTTGTAGAGATGCTCGAGGGGGTGCTTAGTGGGGCGGTGCGCAGCCAGGCCAGCAGTGAGGGGAGGCGCACCCTCACTCTCCTCGGTTGCAGAGCTCGTCGGAGGCTGCGTCACGACGGGAGGGTCGCGACAGCAGTCCTCGGGCGAGCCGACGCGCATGTCCAACCAGCGCCGGGACTCGTTGTGACGGCAGACGCCAGCTGCCTCTCCAACCGCTTCTGCAGCGTCCTTCTTTGCCCGTGCATGGGCTCGATCCGATTCCGCAGCGTGTCGTCCCCAGCGGCGGTGCTGCGCGGGAGGCGGCCGCGGGCACGCTGGGCTCGATCAGCTTTCCCTAGCACGGATTTGGCGGACGTTCGTGGCTTCAATTTTACGTTTGTCTTGGCACACCATGAAGGCTTGCGTCCCAGATCACGCAGTTCGTGCACGGTATTCGGATTTTGCTATTTGTTCGTGTGGGGGTATATTGCAGATTTGTCAATGGTACCGCGTCTGCGACGCGGGCGCCTTGCGGGCAGAGCCCTTAGCCACCCTTTATATCTTGCGCGGTCATAAGAAGAAACTTCGATGAGTTAGAATTTTTGTTTTTCACACATTCGAGTTCCACAATTCGCGTTCCAAAGACCCACCCACTCGCCTTATTAGCACGGAAAAAGAAAGAAAGAAAATATACAACCCAAGGAGGGCGGAGGGGAGGGAGGACGGCACGCCGCCACCACACAGGGATTTCAAGGAGAGGGGTGTGATGCGCTAGCCGTAGTTCACCCTTGGGCGTCCGTCTCTTCCTATCTCTCTTCGCAGTCTCTCGCCGATTCTCGCTGCAACCTTCATGCCACCTCGCGGTCGATCCACTCTCGTCGTTCTCTCTCTTGTCGCTGCTTCCTCTGTCGCGTCGCTCTCCTCTGCCTCGTCCTGCAACGGCGCCGCCTGCCGCTCCCTTGCTCTCGTTCTTCTCCCGCCGTTCGTCGCAGCACGGTCAAGCTCGGGCGGTTGGGGGGGGGGGGGGGTCGAAAGTTAGCAAGCCGATCGAGCGTCCCCTCCCGCCAAAAGTGGCGGATCGCCACAACGCTCTCCCGGACGGCCTGGCCGGCCTGGCTGGGCATCGCCCTTGAAGCTCGGCATCGACCCTTCTCGCCATGGCGGACGAGGGCCCGCTCTCCATCCGCCCTCCGCCGCTCACCCTCCACAGGCATTCCGAACCCGCTCCACGCCTTCAAGCGGCGGTCGAGCATCAACAGCAGCCTCGATGGCTTCAACGCGATGCCAAAGAGTCCTGTCTCGCCCGACGGCGTGATGGAGGAGCTCGGGCCAGGGAGCACCTCGCTTCGGGCGCGCGTCCAGGCAAGGCGAGTGGCCGCGACCAGGCCGACTCAGCCTCGCCCCAGAGGCTTTCTTGCAAGGTGGACGGCGCCCGCTGCCTGCTCTCTCAGGCTCGCATCCCGCCGCCCGCAAAAACGTGCGAACGGCTGCAGGTCGGCGTGATAGGGGCGGGCATGGCTGGGCTCTACGCCGCCATGCTGATCAAGTCGCTCGGCATCGATTTCGAGGAGCTGGAGGCCGCAGAGGCGCCCGGCGGACGCGTGCGCACGCACCACTTCTCCGAGGAGGAGTGGGACTACGTCGATCTGGGCGCGATGCGCGTCCCCAAGATCCCAATCATGGACAGGGTTGTCGGCAACGTCCCCTGGTCCCTGACCAACAAGCTCCCTGGCATCAAGCTAGGCGACTACTACGAGTCGGACGGCCGCGGCATCACCATGTAATACAACGGTTTCCGCGTCGTCGGCGAGATTGACTGGAAAGCCGACCCGTTCCACTTTTCGACGTCAAAGGGTGGCAATGTGCCCGACAAGTTCGTGCACGAGGGGCCCGACCACTGGCTGACGAAGGTGATCCAGGAGTACCTCGACGCACTCAGCAAGAATTTCGAAAGCGGCTTCCGAAAGCTGATGAGCATCGACTCGATGACCGGGCGCCAGCTGCTCCTCGATGACCGGGCGCCAGCTGCTTCTCGGACCCCCATCGTAATTGACAACCTCGACCTGGGCCCGGGTAACGAGGAATAATACTGCCTCATCGAGGGCGGGACAGCTAAGCTGACCGACGCGATGGTTGCCGAGATCGCCGCGGGCCATGGGCCGTGCGTCCAGACCGAGCACGAAGTGCGGCGCCTCACACCCTCTGGACAGGGCGTGGTCGTCTCGGGGGTCGCTCGCGATGATGACGACACTTTTGCGTCGAGTTCTCCAAGCGGTACACGCACGTCATCACGACTGTGACGAACCACGCCTTCCGGCTGATGGATACCACCGACTGCAACCTCTCGCTCGCGAAACGGACCGCGCAGCGCTGCCTGACGTACGACCACTCGACCAATGTGGCCCTCAAGTTCAAGACGCGATTCTGGGGAAGGGGCGCAGCGCCAATCCACGGAGGCACCTCAACGACCGACCTGCCCATCAGACAGGTCGTGTACCCGTCGTATGGCAGCGAGTGGGACACCGGCGTGCTCATCGTCTCGTACTCGTGGGCGGACGACGCGGACTGGATGGGCAGCCTCGCGCTGAGCGACAAGACGCGCGCCATCGAGCTCTGCGTGGCCAACCTGGCGGAGTGCGGTCAAGAGCCTCATGGACGAGCTGGTCGGCTGGACCGTCATGGACTGGGCGGCCGAGAAGCACGCGCAGGGCGCTTAGATACGCCATGTTCACGCCGGGCCAGGTTCAGCAGCATGATTGCAGACCTGATCTCCGCGGAGGTGGACGGGCGGCTGCTCTTTGCGGGCGAGGCAACGAGCGTGCACCACGCCTGGATCGTCGGCTCGCTCAACTCCGCCTACCGCGCGGTGGACGAAATCCTGTGCCGCGAGGGGCTCGTCGAAAAGCGCATCGAGCTGCGCAACCCGTGTGGGGCTCGTGCGACGAGTCCGTCGCGGAGCTCGACGGCAGCCTCCTCGGGCCTGCACTTGAGGCTAGGGGGAGGCGGGACCGGGACGGCCGCGGGTCGGTGAAGCGAGTCTCCTTATTGGTGCTTGTTGCGCGCGCGGCTCGGCGCTCAGTGAGTGATTCCTGTCGGTTTGTGCGGGGACAGTGACCAGTGTGTGTGTGTGTGTGTGTGTGTGTGTGTGTGTGTGTGTGTGTGTGTGTGTGTGTGTGTGTGTGTGTGTGTGTGTGTGTGTGTGTGTGTGTGTGTGTGTGTGTGTGTGTGTGTGTGTGTGTGTGTGACTGTGTGACTGTGTGTGAGGGGCACAGTGCGAGAGTGTCGCGTGTTGGTTTGGGTTTTCCTGTAGATTGAGTGCCGTCGACGTCATCTCATAAGGAACTACGTCGGAGCCCCTGGCCCTGCCTACCGTGGGGCGCTGCGTACGCACATGACCGATCAGACTCGTTCCCGAGTTCAGAGGGTCGCCGATTGAGCTAGGCAGCCTGGTGATGGACGCCACCGCAGCCCTCGTGGCATCTCCCGCAGCGGTCGGCGAGACGGCGCGAGCTCACCAAACACGGGGGGCGGCCCGCAGCCCAGAGGGCTCGCAGTCCAGACGGCCGAAAATCGTGACTCGTGTACCGCCAGCCGTGATCCTCGCCCACCGTAGTTGTGCGTCCTCGTAGTCGACGCCGTCCCCCGTTCAAACACACCTTTGATGAGAACTTGAGAAGTGAAGATCACGCAAAACGACTTCATGACACTTTCCGTTCACCATTTCGTTTTGTGTCTTGACTCATTTGACTCGGTTCAGGAAGGAAATCTAAAGGGAGAAAGACAATGTCCTTTTGGCTCGCCATACAAACGTGTGACGCGCGTGTGCGTGCGGGTGACAAAGAAGGACTGGAGAGCTGTTCCAGGCAACACACGCGCCTGCCTCTGGTGCCACCGCGTTCGTTTGTGATCTGGTGCCACAGAGAGGCGCGCCGGCCCGCTGTTGGGGGGAGCGCGTTGCCTCGTGGGCGCATCACCGCCCTCCTAGGGGATCCGGTCCGGCGAGCTCTTCGAGGGCCTCTCCAAACACCTCGTCAACGCTATAGGGAAAGTCGTCGTAGCCCGGAAGAGCCGAGTCCAAGAGGCTCTGGATGCCCTCTGCCTCGGTCATGCCTCCGGGGTCGACGTTGGAGGCATCTCCGTTCTCTTCGTTCCCCGGCGGGAAGGGCTCTGCCGGCGAGAGTGCGGGCGAAATCCGCTCCGTGCAGGCCAGGAGGCGCGGTGGCCGCTTGTTGGCGGGCGAAAGCCGCTCCCGGTGCAGAAAGGACTGTAGGAGCTTGTGCTCGTGCGGACACGAGCAAACGCACGTCGCACTGCGCCCGTCCACGCAGGGCCCGTCGGGTGGCGAGTGGCGTACGACATCGCGCGCCCGGGCCGCCAGACCGAGCATGCCGCGCAGCGCCTTGGTTGGCTGCGGGCAGCGAGCGAGACGAATGAGGGAAGGCAGCAAGTCAGTCAGCGCGGTGTCACCCGAATCGCCAGACCACGGCCGGATCGGGATGACGTGATCGGGCTGGCGAGCGCCAATGAAGGGCAGGTCCTCCAGCAGAAGCACACGCGAGACGTCGGCCGACACAACTCGCAGATCCTTGAGGTAGAGGCCATGCTCCTCGACGCACGAGCAGCGGAACCAGCGTCGCTGCAGCACGCGCTCTGTGTCGAGCCAGTCGAGCTTCTCGGTGGCCACGGATTTTGGGCTCGCGGTAAAGACGCCGAGCTCGAACCGCTGGGAGGCCTCGTGCAAAAAGCGTGCGAGGTGAGGTCGCTTGACGCACCACGTCCGAGGCCGGCCACAAGCGAGTACATCCCCAGCGGGCCTGTCGCCAACAAAGGTGTGCACCAGCGTGTTGTCCAGATCGAGGAGAAGGAGACTTCGGCTCGCCGGAGCGTCGGCCTGTTGCGCAGGTGGTGGAGCGGCTGCGCCGGCGCCGGAGGGCGATGTACGGATGGTCTCGAGCAGCCAGAGCGCAGACGTCGAGCAGGGCATGTCAGCACCCTTTTCCTTGAGTTCGCCAGACCGCAGCAGCATCGGTCGGGGATCGATGGTCGGGGAGACGTGAGGTCGGTGCTTTCGGGTTCGAGGATCGATGGGTCTCGATGGACTGGCAGACGCCGCACACCGAGGTAAAGAAAAGCGCACCACTCGCGATGCCAGCAACCATTCATGCGGAAGCTTGACAAACACGCGGCGAGGGCGACAGCAAGAGTCGAACGGGCGGCGCCTGACTCAAAAGACACAGCCGCATTCCCAGCGCATTCCTGAGACGCACGAGGCCGAGGGCAGCCTCCTTAAAGGCAATGGGGTCTAGATTTGGGAGCGCTCGCCGAAGAGGAGTACGACAAAATAGCGCCCGTGATTGCCTGCACGCTGCCCGCACTCACGGACTCCATACCCGAAAGAAAGAGAGGGGAGCTCGCAGGAGAGGTGACGAGTGAACTACAGGTAGTGGGGAAGGCAGCCTCGATTGCCATACAGACATGGGTGCGAAACAACGAGAGCGGCCGCACACTGCTCGGTACCCCCCCTGCACATCTAAAGTCATGGCCGACCCCCCCCCCAGCAGCAGCGCTCTGCTGCTGGGGGGGTCGGGACCCCCCCCCCCAGCAGGAGCGCTCTGCTGCTGGGGGGGTCGGGACCCCCCCCCCAGCAGCAGCGCTCTGCTGCTAGGGGGTGCTGGCATCTCTGTACCAACAGCTGTAAGTAAGTACGGTAGCGTTCCAGTCGTCGGCGAGGTGCTGGAAATCGATATTAAATGGCTTGAGGGCGAGCCGCATGGCTTCCACCACGTCGCTGCCCGCCATTGCGGCGACGCGTCGCGGCGGACCTGACAGTTTTGCCGCGCGACGGGCCGCGCGCGCGTTTCGAAAAAAGAAAGTCCTTAGGCTCAGTCGATCGATTTCGACGAGCGAGCGATCCGAGGATCGAGCGGGGGACCGATAGGCTAGAGAGATCAACGCTGATCGGTCATCGTCAGCCGAGACGCCCGAGTGAGTGGCTCACTACACGGCTTTTAGTGTGGTAGTACAAGATAGACTCACATGGTCACAAGTCTTTAGTAAAACGCCAGCACTCGACACGACGAAGGTGTATTGGGCTCGAAGGCGCGGTGAACACAGCCGCCTCGAGCGTACCGCTAAAACACGAGCCGAGGTGGGAGGGGGCGGCGGCGGCGAAGAGGCGGGAGCCGGGAGAGCTGGGTCCAATGCCCTCTGCTGCTGGGGGGGTCGGGACCCCCCCCCCAGCAGCAGCGCTCTGCTGCTGGGGGGGTCAGACCCCCCCCCCTAGCAGCAGGGATGACTTTAGATGTGCAGGGGGGGTACCGAGCAATGTGCGGCCGCTCCGACAAGACCAAGGCACGGGCAGAGGAGTGAGAGAAGAATATAGGGTGGATAAAGCGCCTGTTCACGGCATGGAGGGTGAGCCGCGCGCGCGCCGGAGCCCGCGCTCGTGATGGCCTATGGGAAAAGTCCTAGTAGGTTCCTGGAAGGTTCCTAGAAGGTTCCTAGGAGGCTAGCCCGCGCTCGTGATGGCGCCTGGCTAAACGTAATGAACGTAGAGCCGAACGGGAGGAAGCCGGGGAAGACGACCCCGAGGAGGACGACACACCAGTGGTAATCTCGTCGTCAGCTGTCACGATGCACCCGAAGGGGACCCCAGCGCCAGCATCATCGGTGGAGGCACAAGTGTCCGAAGAGAGAGAGTGGACCTGAGCAACGATATGACTTGGCGGCAAATGATCGCAGTGGGCGTCAGAAGAGTCGTCCTTGCGCGAGGAGAGCTCGATAAACTCGAGGGGCCAGGATATGCCGCGAGGAGGGCAGAGTTGCGCCGAAAGGCGGGAGAAGCCGCGAGAGCAAGGGATCGGCAGGCGGCAGAGACACGGGACGGAGACAGACACGCACACACCCTCCACGCTCTCCCCTCTAACTCCACCCCCCCCCCTACTCCACGATGTCGTGCAACTGTGCGTATCCTCTTCTCTCGGCCAGAGTCATCTTTGGGCGCTCCGCGCCGCCGCCGCCGGAGGGCGTCGTGACCGTCGCCGTGACGGTCGCCCCTCCGCCGGCCGCTGCTCGCGGCGCCGAGTGATCAAAGAAGGCGCCCGAGACGAGGGCGATCTTCTTCATCGGGAAGTTCTCCTCGACCACGTGCACGCGCCGCGCCATCAAGCGGTACGTCGCCGCCACGAGCGCCGTCAGGCCCAGCGAGGTGAGCAGGTTGGGCGCCTCGGCCAAAAAGGCAAAGACTGCGCCCGCAGCGAGGAAGGAGTAGATCGAGAGGTAGACGAGGTACGAGACGAGCTCGTACTCGGCGAGGATGCCCTCGACGGCCTTGTTCATCGACCCGTCCGGCCCGCGCAGCGCGAGCCCAGGCCCGAGCATCGTGATGGCCGTGGTGCCAAAGGCGGCCTCGAGCCCGCAGCACATCGTGAGCAGGTTGGCAGCCACAAAGAGGGCCTGCCTGTACTCGCCGCCGCAAGGCACGCACGCGCCGATCGCCGCGCTGTACGTGGTCCCCGTCTCGCAGTCCGACGAGTCGCACGGCGCCTCGTCTCCGCAGGCCTGGCAGCCGCCGCCCACCATCGCCTCGCCGACAGGGCACTCGGACCACTCGGGCGCCTGGTGAGAGTGCCACCCGCAGTTCGCGTCCTTGAAGTAGTCCAGCTTGGTGTAGACCAGGCCTACGGCGCGAACCCAGCCTCCGCCTCCTCCGCTCCTCTGGTCCCGCCAGGCAGGTGCGCGAGCGGGGCGGGGTGGTCGCGTGCCGAAGAAGCCAAGACCCGAGAATATCGCCGACACCATGCCCATGGTCCGGCAGTTGTTCACATACAGCTCGAGCTCGCGCTCGCGGATGGCCAGCAGCCTCACCTGCACAGCCGGATTTGCGGTTACAGCAGGTGAGCGTGAGCTGGTGCCCGCCGAGAGACGGCGCCTTTGCGCCTTTGTACGGTTCTCCAGCGCAGCCTTGTCCGCGTACAGCATGGCCCGTCGATGCGAGGATGGATGAGATGGCGGAAGGCGGTTTAGTCGCGCTACAGACGCTTCTACTGCAAGCTGACACGGACGAGCGGCTCCCGGACGAGCGGCTCTTGGATGTGCCGCTCCCAGCGGCGTAAAATCGCGGCGCTGGTATTCTTTTTTGTGTTTTTAAGAATTCTTTCTTGTCAAATTCCCTTTTCTAGTGCTATTTGTGGTGCCCTCCAAGAGTTTTTAGGGTCGATTCCGCATGGAACGGGACCCCTCGATCGTCTCGCCCTCCCTCGCTGTCGGAGGTGTGTTCATCAAAACAAAACGGAATGAATGCAATCAACCTGGCAACCCTGTCTGCACGTCTCGCGCGCGCGGAACAGGGCTCCAGGCCTCAAATGACGTGTGAGTGCTAGACTTGTTTGGTATTGCTAAAAATCTCTCTCTCAAAAGCAACACACTATCTCAAAAAAAACGAGCGAGCCACATACACGAACGATGAATGAACAACTCTAACACTCACACGTCATTTGGGGCCTGGAGCCCTGTTCACGCGCGCGCGAGACGTGCCGACAGGGTTGCCAGGTTGATTGCATTCATTCCGTTTTGTTTTGATGAACACA